AGTGCATTGAAATAAAAAACAAGAAATTTGAGGTTTAAAATGAGGCGGAAGGGGAGGGGGAAGAGAGCCACAAAGGAGGGAGAGGGGGGAGGGGGGAGGGTACCTGGCTTCCCTGCGAGAGAGCAAGGTTTCCTCTCGAAGGGCTGACGGGATGTTCAACATCCAAGGGGGAAAGCTTGCCAACATCCAAGGAGAGAACACCCCTACTTTCTTCAGCCAAGAGACGGGTACTCCTGTCTCCTTCCTCGAAGGTATACAAGGATCATTCTCGTCAGAACTAAGTGGTCTTCTTCCCCTTTCGTTTGGCAAGCTTCCCCCTTGGATGTTGAACATCCCGTCAGCCCTTCGAGCAGAAACCTTGCTCTCTCGCAGGGACGAGAATCCGTTCCTATGACGGTAGGGCTTCCAACGGGTTAAGCTACGAGTACACGGTTCCTGCTACAATGACTCTAGGTTGGGGGAGGGGGAGGAGGAGGGGGAGGAGGTGGAGGGGGAGGAGGAGGGGGAGGAGAAGGAGGAGGAGGAGGTGGTGGTGTTGGTGGTGGTGGTGGTAGCGGAAGTGGAGGAGTCGGCAAAGGGGTGAGTGGAAGGAAGAGAATGACCCCCAAAGGCTTGAGGGAGAGCAAGAAGATGGTGCGAGAGACGGGAGTTGAGAATGGGACGAGATTGAGGACAAACAAGTTTTAATGTCAGAAAGGAGGAGGGGTAGCGCTTCTGCTTCACTCCATGTTGCGCTGTCGGGGAGCGCATGTGATGACCTCGTCCACTCTGATGATCATCTCGGCAGCCTCAGCAGCAGACACCAAAGACTGGTAGAGACGTCAGGGAGGGGACGAGAGGGGAGGGGACGGGAGAGGGGAGATATAAGAAAAGAGAGGAGGGGAGGAGATGGGAGAGGGGAGGAGAGGAGAGGAGAGGAGAGGAGAGGAGAGGAGAGGAGAAGCGAGGTGAAGGGGAGGAGAGTAGAAGCTCAGTCGCACTCACCTGGCACTTGACGCGGAAACTTTCGGTGATCCCGAGCTCCTTCATATCCCCGATGGTTCCTCTCTCCATGTCGAGACCATGCGATGAGTGACCCTTGTTGTGCGCTGCCCTCAACTGCGTCACGAGCTCCGTGCTGTCGTAACCTCCATTCTCAGCGATGGTCTTGGGGAGGGACCTCAGCGCCTTGGCGAACGCCTCGATGGCGAGGGACTTCTTGCCTGGCGTCTGCTTAGCCACAGCATCGACAGCCTCGGCCATGAGCACTTCGCTGCATCCTCCTCCGTAGATCGCTCGGGGGTCCTGGACGATGGTCTTCAACACGCAGAGAGCATCATGCAGCGATCTTTCAGCCTCGTCTAGGATGTGCGAGCTCGCCCCGCGCAGGACGATAGTGCAGGCCTCCCCAGCACGGCAGCCGTTGAATTGAATGAGTTTGTCTTCGCCGATCATGATCTCCTCAATCAGCTCACATTCGCCCAACTTGATGAGTTCAGGGTGATCGAAGGTCGAAGCAATCTCTCCGCCAAGCACTGCAGAGAGTCTTTCGATTCCATCAAAATCAGCGTGTTCGATTGCCATGACGCCCCTGTCCGCAAAGTATTGCTCAGGCTTGTTGTAAATCAATTGGCGATTGATAAAGACGTTGCAACCACACGCCATGATTTTGTCGCATTTTGCCACCATCTTTGCTGCTTCCGCTTGCTCAATCTCTGCAACCTTGCTGAGAGAATCAACCTTCACCTTGGCTCCATAAATCTTGATCTTGTCAGTGTCCATAGGAGTGTTCGCAATCAAAATCTTGGCATTCTCAACACGCTTCGGCTGTCCAACCCCAATCTTCTTGTCTAGAATAAAGCCTGGTGCAAGAAACGAATCCCGCATAGATCCTCCAGCCTTCTTGAGGATTTGAATGTTTTCTAGGTTTCCTGAACCCTTCAACCTGAGGACCGCGTCCACGCAAATCTCTGCGAAGTGATCGTGTGCGACGTGCACAATTTTCGAGCTGAGGGTTGTCTTGGCAACTTTGAGCAGATATTCGCGGAACATTTTCTGGTCTGCACTGATATCGAACGCAGCCCCCTCGAGGGCTTTTCTAGCCGCACTCAAAGCAAGGCGCCATCCTGATTGAAAGTGAGTTCGATGCTTCTTCGCAGAGACGGGCATGCGAACCTTCAACGATGATCTGCGAATGGATTCTCTGACTCAAAAGAGGATCGGCCTCTGCGAGCAGAGCCCCTGCAAGGATGCAAACAGTAGTCGTACCATCCCCCACCTCATCGTCCTGCGCCACGTGATTAACAGTTGGTTCACAACAGTAGCTGTCAGCAACCTGCGTCTTTGAGATGTCAACCAGAATTTTAGCAGCAGGGTTATCGAGAGTGAGCTTCTTCAAGATAGTCGCTCCATCGTTTGTCACAGTGATGTCGCCGGACTGAGACTGCAAGATTTTGTCCTGTGGACGAGAACCGATTAACGGAATGATCCGCAAGACGAGGTCTGTTTTACCATTCCGCGCGGACCGAGCGTGCTCTTGACAATGTCAGAGACAGCCATCGCACCGATAATGATGGACAGCTTGGCATCCTATTGCCCAGTCAATAAGAACAACCTGCACATCGATCCTCGTGTAACCTGTCCCTTGAACTCTTGAGCCCCTTGCCCCAGCACTGAAGGACCAGCCTAGACCACAATAAGTCAACCTTCACGCAACAATGCCGAGATAATCCATCATCAAATAACCACGTGACATGGGCGCTGGCCATAGGGCGAACCTCCAGCACAAGGATGCAACAAATCGAACGATAGGTAGAAGTTTGACAAGAAAGTGTTGAGAACACAGGAGGGAGAAGAATCAACATCATGTTGAGCATGTAGATGAAAATGTAGATGAAAATGTGGATGTGGATGTGGATGGGGATGGGGATGGGGAAAGGATGCCTGAAGGTGACAAGACAAACGCATGGCCGACGATGAAGGCTATGAGGACTTCCAAGGGTGAATGAGAGGATGAAAGTCGATGAGACAAGCAAAAGAAGTGGAACATGTGAGTTTGAGTGGATGTGCAGGACATCAGCGACAACATGGAGTAGTTAAGTGATGGAAATGGTGAACAGAGCGGAGGGGAAAGATGGGAGCGGGAGAGGAAAGAGAACAGAATGCAAGGACGAGCCGGACAAGCAGCAAAGCCTGATGAAACTAGCAAGTCAAAGGACCTGATAAGGTTAGAGTGTAGAGGCAGCAGCAGCAACAGCAGCGCCATCACCATCACCATCACCATCACCAGCCTCTGCTAGCTACCTGCATTGTCGGCTAGTTTGGCGGGAAACTTCTCGCACTCAATTTTACTTAATTTCTTTTTAGAATCACCCCACCCCTTGTCAGGTCATGGGACCCTGGTATCGAGTACCCCCAAACAATAAATTAATACACCCTACCCATACTTATCCTAAACATGAAGTTTCCCAACCACCCCTAGTGATAGTACCCCTACCCGTACAGAACTTCCCAAGGGGTATATCACCCCATTTTTCAATAGCCTACACGGACCCCTCCTTTTGCCCCTCGCGCTTGAAAAAACACTATATTTTTAGATATAAATGCAGTACAAATCTTGAATTATCCTGGTACCTTTTGTTTTAGTAAACAGACATCTTATAGTTTATAGTTATATCATGAAAGTTTAGTTACTATCAAAATTTTAATATTTAGTATATTATTGATAAAAATAAATAATTTTATAGAAGATATCCGTACCCTGAGCAGTACAACATATTTGTACCACTCTTTGAATTTCATATCCCCAGATATTTGTTTGTAACTTTACCTTGATCTTTTCAAATTTTTCACAAAGTCAAACAAACTTACTGCATAGATTTCAGCTTGCACAGTTAAATATGTTTTAAACTTTAAATGTATAGTAGGAGAGGCGCGAGGAATGCCGCCGCTGCCTCTCGCTATCTCCCACCCGTCCTTCCCTCCAACATGCATATGCGGATAGCTCTCTCATCTACTCTCTCTGTCTCTTCCTGCATCCAACTCTTCTTGCCCGTCTTCCATGCTTGCCTGCATGCTCATCCTTTCGCCATCCCTTTACATGTCTTCTCTACACTCCGCACGCCCCTCACTCCCATCGCCTATTCTTCTCCCTAGCCTCTCCTCTTCTCCTCTCTCTCCATCCTGATCAACTCCAATTGCTCCAACTCTCCCTCTCCCTCCCCTTCAATCCCCTTAGGTCTTCTCTCTTCCCACTCCTCCCCCACCCCATCCCTTCTCTTCGTCCATTGTACTTTTTTCATCCTCTCTACACCTCTTCAATGATCCCGACATTTCGTTTCCCTTGCTCTCATCGTTTTACTTCCCACCTCCTCTCTTGTCTCGTCCCTCTCGTCAACTCGACGGAGAGCTCCACTTCACCTTTTCATGCGCGTGCAGACGACTGAAAGATCTGAGGAAGGGAACGAGGCAACTTCGAGTTTCGTGTTGTTCTGATAGCTCCCCTTTGAGCTGTAGAAGAATGTCATGTACATGGCTACGACTTTTTGATCGACCCTTACCTTGCCTGCATGAGAGACTGATGAGATTTCGACAGGATCTGAGTTTAGTTTCCCTCCGGGTTTCATCAAGGATTTGAACAGCCAAGCTTGAGCGCGCTTTCTTTTGAAAGCGCTATCTGAGAATCTGTTAGCGCCTTGTGAGCCTCTAGTCGTGAACATTCAGAGGCATCGGGGAACCTTCAAGATGGAAGATCTAGACCGTCAGATAGCATCCGTGATGGATTGCAACCCATTACAAGAAGACGAAGTGGTTCGGCTGTGCGAGAAGGTGAGGACCGACTTGTCTCGAAGCTCATGAGCTGAGTGTACTGCAGACTAAGGAGATACTTCAAGGAGACCAGAACGTTCCCAACATAGCTGCACCAGTCACTGTATGCCTTTTGCTTTGTACTCCATCAAATCGGTTCGACTTACCATCTTCAAGGTTGTCGGTGATATCCATGGACAATTCTACGACTTGCTGGAGCTTTTTAGAATCGGTGGGCGTGCTCCTGACACCAATTATCTTTTCATGGTTTGAACTAGTGCGTGGGGTGAGTTGGAGTTGAGACTTGGTGCAGGGGGACTATGTTGATCGAGGATATTATTCTGTTGAATGCGTCACCTTAGTAGTTCTCTTGAAGCTGCGATATCCCAACAGGGTTACCATTCTACGTGGCAACCACGAATCAAGACAAATCACTCAGGTCCGTCGTGTCTAGTCAACGTGCCTGGTCTGATGATCAGACAGGTGTACGGTTTCTATGATGAATGCGTTCGAAAGTACGGCAGTGCGAATGTGTGGAAATGTTTCACGGATCTGTTCGACTTCCTTCCACTCGCGGCTACTATTGACAAGCAACTCTTTTGCCCCCATGGCGGCTTGTCGCCCTCCTTGGACACAGTGGCGCAGATGCAGCAGGTGAGCTGATGAAACTCTTGGTCGACGTGTCTCATCGCTGGCGCAGCTCGAGAGGTTCCAAGAGATTCCGCATGAGGGCCCCATCTGCGACCTCATGTGGAGCGACCCGGACGACCGCGTTGGGTGGGGAATCAGCCCGCGAGGAGCAGGTTACACATTCGGACAGGTAGTGTCATGGTCGTTGTGTCACCCTTGAGCTCAGAAGGGCATGCAGGATGTGTCGGAGCATTTCAATCACATCAACGGCTTCGAGTTCATTGTGCGAGCACATCAGCTGGTGAGAGCGGCGCAAGCTTATCAGCATGTGTTGAGCTTCTGTTCAGGTCATGGAGGGATACAACTGGTCGCACGAGAACGCAGTGGTAACTCTCTTCAGCGCTCCCAACTACTGCTACCGATGCGGAAACCAGGCCGCGATCATGGAGGTGAGGAGACGGGAGGCTGCGTCGCTGCCTGTGACCCTCATGCAGGTTGACGAACACATGCATACCAAGTTCATCCAGTTCGACCCGGCGCCGAGGAGAGGCGGGCCCAACTCAAAGGAGGTGACAGTGAGCAGACAAGCGCCTGAGTACTTCCTGTGAGGCGGGCGAGGGGAAAAGGGAAAAGGGTCAGGGAAGAGGGAGAAGGAGAAGGAGAAGGAGGGGATGGGATAGCGTGTAAGATACGGGGAATCTACTTCTTGTATAAGGGGAATGAAAGCCCATGGCGGGGGAATCGGTGACGGGGCTGCTTGTGATTTCTTCAGGGCTGGAGCTCGGCCTCCTGCAAGTAGTTGACGGCAGCCCGATACTCGAGAGCAGACGAGAAGCTGCTGTTGCTCTCCAGCTCGAAGGGAGGCAGCCAGTACTTGCAAGTGACCATGCCATGGTCGGAGAGGTTGAAGGATGGATCCCATTCGCCACTCTTGGAAACAAGTCAGCCGTGGACAGGAAGGATGGAGCTCCAGGGAGGAGAGAGGAGAGCAGGTAGAGCAGGCACCTCGAGTATGCTGGGATGGATCTTCGCTTCTACCAGCCTCAAGTCACTCCCTTGCTTCTCCTCCATCCCCTCCTGCTGTCAGTCAGCTGGTCGACCAAGACGCTTTTCAGCAGAGCATGCGCACCGCCGGGTACATGGACTTGAAACCCTCGGCCCGCTCCTGACAGAAGAAGTGAGACCACCAGGAAGCCGAGAGAGCGAAGGACGAGGAGTAGAGGTCAGAAGGAGAAGGACGAGGAGTAGAGGTCAGAAGGAGTAGGAGGACGAGGAGTAGAGGTCAGAAGGAGTAGAAGGACGAAGAGTAGAGGTCAGAAGGAGTAGAAGGACGAGGAGTAGAGGTCAGAAGGAGTAGAAGGACGAGGAGTCGAGGTCAGAAGGAGTAGGAGCAGGAAGGGTCGGAAGGTTCACCGTGCCAGTGAAGATCTGGTTGACTTCATCCTTCCACCTGCCAACTGTTGAGCTTCTCCCTCTTCCCCTCCCCTCCTCCACCAGCGAGCGAAGACCTCCGAGTCGATGTAGCTGCTCCACGTCAGCACGAGCAAGGGGCGAAGGGGGGGGGGAGGGATGAGAAGAGTGAGGAGCGGCAGGAGCAGAAGCAGAGCAGGAGGAGCAGGAGCACTAGCAGGAGCAGGAGCAGGAGCAGGAGCAGGAGCAGGAGCAGGAGCAGGAGGAGCATGCAGTGAGCTCACCCCGTGCTGTTGGCGTCGAGATGTTTGAACACTTGTCGTATCATGTCT